TATCTATTTTTAGCTGTGCATGGCTTAGACAACTCTGATGTGCATTTCAAGAAATTCATTGGGAGCCCTTCTGATTTGATAAAGATTGCATTCTAGTTTCCATTCACTGGTTCCTACGTAAACTTCTAACCTTCTCTAGACCAAACTGTGAATTTTTATTAGATTTTTGTGAAGTCATTCACAGGTCAATATCTTGATGGCATCTCTAATCATTGTTAAAATCTATGTCATCGCACTTTGCCACTAGATTTTGGATGGCCCTTACTTTCAGCATCCAGTTTCTAAAGGGTTATACTCTCATTTTTCAGAATAAGCTCCCTATGGTGTTTTTGGCACTGCATTGCTTGGATGCAGAGAATTTTTGCAATTCTGTTGAGCATTTCAAGAATATAATTGTCTGCCCTTCTGATTTGGTTAATTGATTTCATCATAGCTGCTTATCATAGGTTTCTAAGGAAGTTTTAACCTTGTTAAGACAAAACTTTGAAAGTTTACGAGAATTCGGCAAAGTCATTATCAGCATAATATGTTTATGGACATCTTTAATGGTCATTCAAATTGGTAAGTTTTCATGATCAGTGCATTATAAGGAATCTACTTGATCCACACTTTGCCACGAGATTAAGGATCATCCTTACAGCGAAAACCACGTATCTCCACATGGTGTTCCCTCTGCTTTCAAGAAAATCCAGATTTTAGGCATTCTAGGCATCCTGATATGGAACTGTAATGCATATTGAGGATTACTGTCCTTGTGATATATACAACAAGAATGTTGATCTTGGTCATTTCTCTACCAGTAAAACTTGTCTGAGTGGTAAAGAAATATTTACATTCGACCTTCTAAACTGATTTGAGGTTTTGGTGAAGCATTTAACGGGGAATGTCAAATATTGGATGGGGTCTTAGCTGTTAGTTAAAGAAGGTTAGGAAATCGCTACCTTAAAAGGTTATCAGATTTCAACTTTTGTGATTTCAGGAACTGATATTAAGGCATTATAAATGAGATGTCTTGATTTTGCTTCACGGTAAATTTCCTGGTTCAGTTGAGACATTCCTGAGAAATTCTGAATGAAGGGCTTTTGCTAGAGAGGAACGAGCCAATTTACTGTAAAGTTCCGAACTTAGATATTCATGCACCTTATTCTCATCTTGGGCAGCTTCAGTTCTCTTCGAGGAATTTGGCAGGTACTCCAAAGCTGCTTGGAATTTGTTTATAGTGTCAAGGCTTGGTCCACTGCCCAGCTTCCCTAAATTAATGCAATGCATTTGCCCTGATTTATGCAATGATAAGCTTAGAGAAATGAGTCCAAGAACATCAATTTCACGCGTAAATTGGAGGATATAACTCCAAATTTTATTTGAGATCTTGGTTTAGTGGCAAGGTTTCAAGCGATTAAGGTTGAGGGAATAAGAGTCGGAGATCTTGTTTTCAAAATTCACTGTATGCGACTTTTTTCTCTTGTATTAATCCCACTATAATGTATAATGGTCTCTTGTATCTTTATCAAATAACAAGGAAAAAAAAAGGCATTTTTAGGTAAGGCCTTGTTTGATACATTGAAGTTTAAAATCTAAAATTTGAAGTTTAAACTTTACTTGTTGAAAGTATTAAAATGATGAGTTTTTTATGTTATATCTATACGATAATTAATTGAATCTAATCATTGAATTGAAATATTGCATAAACGAGAGAAATGAAAGTGTCTCTGTGTGCCTAAGAGAAAATGGTAATATAATTAAGAGGTGGCATTTACACGTGTGCATTTGTGTGTGAACGTGATGAAAAATATAAGTTATGTTACTTTGTGAGTGTGTTGTACACATGAAATGGATAATAGATGTGATAAATTTTAATGCAAATTTTTTACTTAAAATTTTAAATACAAATTAAGCAATATTTCATTGTCGATTATGCTTAATGTATTAATGTATAAATAGTAAGTCAAATCCATTATTTTTTTTTTTTTTGCCCTACATGATGGACCTACACTATCCACTGTATGTGACTTTTTTCTCTTGTATTAATCCCACTATAATGTATAATGGGCTCTTGTATCTTTATCAAATAACAAGGGGAAAAAAAAGAAGGCATTTTCAGAGCAAGGCCTTGTTTGACACACTGAAGTTTAAAATCTGAACTTTGAAGTTTAAAAGTTAAGTGCTAAAAGTATTAAATTGATAAGTTTTTAAAGTTATATATATGTGATAACTGATTGAATCTAATCACTGAATTGAAATATTGCATAAATATTTATAATTTTATTTTAAAAATGCTGCATTTGTTAATGTAATTGAGAGAAAGAAAAGTGTCACTCTGTACGTAAGAGAAAATAGTAAAATAATTAAGAGGTGGCATTTATGCTTGTGTATTTTTTGTCCGTGAACGTTATGAAAAACACAACACAAGTTATGTGCACTTTGTGTGAGAGTAAGTATACGAGTGTGTTGTATACATGAAATAAAATGGATAATATATGTGATAAAATTTGAAAAAATCGTTCAAAACATCCCTCACATTTTGTAAAATAATTTTTTTCATCCTTTACTTTTAAAAGTGTACTGTTACGTCCTTTACAAATTCATGATTTGGTCCCTATCTAGGTTTCCGACTAGTTTTTTGCCGGAATTCATCATATGACTTGCATGTGATCATTTTTTAGGGGCAAAATTATCAAATCAAAATTTACATAATCCATCTATAGTCCCTTACATTTCACAAAATGAATCGTTTCGTCTCTTACATTTCACAAAATAAATTTTTTCATCTCTCAGATTTCTCAAAATGAATTTTTTTATCTCTCATTGACCACGTGTACGAATAGTTTTTATTTTTTTAAATTCATGAATATATCTATTTGATTTTATCTAAACAGTACATATAATATATAATATATCTCTATTTGATTTCACCTAAACAGATCGATATATACATGGGTTTAAATCTAATAATTTTGTTTTAAACCTATATATATATATATGTGTGTGTGTGTGTGTGTGTGTGTGATTTCACCATGTGAATCTATTCAATATTTGTAATCTTTTCTATTTTAGTAATAATTCATTTATTGAGTTGTTTAATAAGAGTATCTAATTAATCGGTATTAATTCGAATTCTATAGTCATGCTAACAAATTACAATTTAAATCTGAAATTTTTACTCGCTGCCTTTAAGACCAACAATTGAATTTCTTACCTGCTGATTATTTTAAAATTTGAAAGTGTTAATTGCTTACTTCTTTTTTGTGATACTTTTGACTTTTCCTTTGTTTATTTTTTCTGTCTAAATTTAATTCGATATAAACACTTGATAATATTTAGAATTAAATGTCTTCTTTGTTTTCAATTTTCGAGTAAAAAGAATGAACATGAGTGAAAAACTAACAATTTTTTTAAACCCCTATATATATATATATCTATTTTAATTTCACATAAGCAGTATATTTAAGCGAAAATTAAATAGAGATATATTACATGCTATTTGTATTGTCCATGTGAGATCAAATAGATATATAAATTAGTTTAAAAAAAATAGTTATTCATACACATGAGCAATGAGAAATGAAAAATTTATTTTGTAAAATATGAGGGATGAAAAAATAGGTAAAAAATAAAAAAGCCCCCTGTGGTAAACCTAATATACAGAAAAGCCCCCCGTGGTTTCAAAATATACAACACGACTCCTCATACTTTGAACTAAATTGTAAAGGTGACGGAATCCGTTAAACTTAACGGAAATGGTCAAAATGACCAAAATACCCTGATATAATTAAGCAAAAGACAGCTCAAAAAAATCATTTGTTTTATTTTCTAAATAGAGAGAATTGAGGGTTAAGGGGTGGAATTGGTATATTTGATAAAAAATAGGTATAAAAAATTTTTTTTAGGTTCCAATAAGTCATTTCCGTTAAGTTTAACGGATTCCGTCACTTTTACAATTTAGTTCAAAGCATGAAATGTCGTATTGTATATTTTGAAACTATAGGGGGTTTTTCTGTGTATTAGGCTTACCACAGGGGGCTTTTTTATTTTTAACCCTGAAAAAATTCATTTTGTGAAATGTGAGGGACGAAACAATTCATTTTGTGAAATGTGAGAGACTATGGATTGAATTGCGTAAATTTTGATTTGACAATTTTGCCCTTAAAAAATGATCACGTCCAAGGCACGTGCTGGATTTCGACAAAAAACTGGTCGGAAACCTAGATAGGAACCAAATTTAATGAATATGAATTTGTAAGGGACGTAAAAGTACATTTTTAAAAGTAAAGAACAAAAAAAATTATTTTGTAAAATATGAGGGAATTTTAGAACGATTTTCCCATAAAATTTCTCACTTAAAATTTTGAATACAAATTAAGCAATATTTAATGCATTACGTATTTTAAATGCTAAGACATTTCCATTATCGATTATGCTTAGGGCATTAAATGATAAGGCATTTGTATTATCATTTAATTTACCCCTTATCTAATTGTCCTCTGCAACTCCATCTGCACATTTCCAATTTCGCACTCCACCGTCGACGTTAGAATGCTTTCCGGCGACACGTCCCAAAATCCCTCCACCGCCGCAAAACCCAAAAGTCGAATCATCAAACACTCATTCAAACCCATCGAAATCTTTCTCTCCTCCCCTGCTTCACCCACCTGCGCCACCATCCATACCCCCTCGAAATCAAACCTTCCTCAACAAGAAGAAGAAGATGATGACCAAAATGAGAATTCCTTCTCTTCATCGCTTGCAGCCTTTGTTATAGCCCACAATGAACATCTCGTAACTCATATTTTACTTCGTTTGCCTCCAATATCCTTCTTCGCTTCCAGTCTGTTTCCAAACAATGGCAATCAATCATTTCCAACCCCACTTTCCGCCGTCTCCACTCGCGGGGTTGCCCCACTAACACAGTCTCCTGCTTCCCTCCCGGGCTGCTTTTGTTTCCGTTAGAAGGTCCACGTGTTTTTTATTTCATTGCGTTCCGCCAGGAGGAGGTGAGTTCAATGGCCAACATCGTTTCTCACTTGAATACTTTCCTTTACGGGCCCCGCAACATTTCATGTTTACATTCTTGCAATGGTTTATTAGCTATAGTGTTTGATGTCGATAATCGTGAAGAATTTGTGGTTTATAATCCCACTACTCGGGAGTCTAAGCTTGTTCCAATGATTGAAACTCCACATAACCGTAAAGTTCTGAATATTGTGTTTGATCCTGAAAAGTCTGATCACTACAAGCTTGTTTGCATTTGGTATGAAAATGGGGTTCACAGATTCTCTGTGTATTCCTCTGAAAAAGGGGTTTGGAGGAATACTGAAGAGATGGCTACTGATGAATTATATTATCGAGGGGGAGTGTTATGGAATGGTGATCTTCATTGGATTAGTCCGTGGAATTTCAGTGCGTGCTTTGACGTCAGCAATGAGCGCCTTAGGCCACTTAGGTACACCATAAACACGCCCGAGGGCGAGGAATATGTAGATGATTGGTATTTTGGGGAGTCAGGGGGCCATCTGTTTTATATTCATGGAAATGAACCTCAGGGAACGCTGTTTGATATTTTCAAGTTGGAGTTGGAGAGGGACTGTCTTTTTTGGAATTTCAAGTATCATGTTGATCTTTCTCCGTTGACTACTTTGTATCCACAGATGATAACAGAGAAATATGAGCTCGAGAAGCCATGTGCGTTCTATATAACTCGTTTTCTTTTGGATCACAAAGAAAAGACAACAGTGTTTGTGATAGCACTTGCTGGAAATATCATTTCTTGTGATTTTAACAACTTGACTTTGATGGAGCTTGCTGATGTGGAGGTGGATACAAATTATGGTTTTCCTAACAATGATGTCTACAGATGGGATTTCGCTTTTCAACATGTCGAGACACTAGCTTGTCTTTAATTCCTCTCATTCTTGTTTTGCAGTCCCTGCATTTTCCTACTCATGAATAGTCAGGTTGGTAATGTTGGGCAATGGTAGTGTTGTCTTTGACAAGTGTTCTTGTGGAGACATGTACGATATTGTCCTGGGGAATCGATTATAATGTATCTTAGCAGCTTCTAGATGGCAAAGTCATTTCTTATGGTATTGATGATATGACTGTTAAAAAGGTTGCTGAAGTAGTGCTGGAGAAGCTTTACTATTCCTCGAGGGATGTCTCAAAGTACAAATGGAACGAAGCCTATCAGCACATTGATATGTTAGCTTGTGTACAATTGGTCTATGTCTATTTAGTATATGTTGTTAGTGACTTCCTGCTCACTGGATTTGCCTGCTGTGAAATATCATTGAGATGTGAATTTTTCCTATGCTTCTTGTTAGAGATGTTATCTTGCACGATTAAAATAATACAACATTAGGGCTGTGAATCAGTGTAATCGGATATGATGCACTAGAAGAGTTAAGCCGCTTATCCCTTCTGTAGTTGCAAAGTCAGTACTAATGTTACTTGATACTAGACATCCATTGGATAGATGTTTCAAGATTTATCAGCATCTGATTCCTAAAGGATTTCTGTTCCTTTTTCATAATTAGCTCGAAATGGAATTGCTTTTTTAGCATGTATAGCTTAGATGCAGAGATTTTTTCTAATTCTGGTGTGCATTTAAAGAATTTGATTCCATGCCCTTTTGATTTGGTTAATACATTGCATCATAGTAGCTTATCACTGGTTCCTAATAAAGTTTTAACCATCTTTAGACAAAACTTGAAATTTATGATATGGAGAAGTCATTAGCAGCTGCTTTTGTTACAAATTGGTTAAGTATGCATGATTGCTGCATTTTAAGCAAAGTACTTGGCCACACTTCGCCATGGTTATGGCCCTTACGTGGAATACTGCATATTTAGGACTGGTATTCACTCTGTTTTCAAGAAAACCAATATCCTAAATTTTCTACTTATCGAATATGCAGTGGAAAAGTGCATACTGAGGATTGCTGTCCTTCTAGTACACCTGCACAGAGGGTTATTTTGTGTCACTTTATGTCAATTAGGTTGCTTGGTAGAAGGAGATGGTTGATTTTGATTGATTCTTTACCAGTAAATCATTTCTGAGTGGTAAAGAAAACATATTTTCAGATGCTAACCAGTTAACACATGCATCCTTGCTAAGTTCGTTGGAGGTTTTGGAAGCGCATAACAGCAAATGTTAAGTATTGAAAAGGGGAAAGATGCTTGTTAAAAGTGGATGTTGTTGCTATTTCAAAAGATTATCAAATTTGAACTTCAGTTCTTCGGGAACAGATATTAAGACCTGATGAATGAGATGTCAAGAATGTTGTTGCAGGGCAATTTTTTAATTCAATTAAATCTGTCCTAAACAATTTTGAATTTAGGTCTTTTGCAGCTGAGGAATGATCCAATTCACTGTGAAATTCCAAATTTAGGCTTTTGCAAAACTCAGATATTGGTAAACATTGTTGTCATCTTGGGCAACTTTACTTCTCTTTTGGGAATGTGATATCTATACTCTTGAGATGCTTAGAATTTGTCTATGGTATGTAGTGAATGCACGGCCTAACTTCCCTAGATTAATGCAATGCATTTGCCCTGATTTATGCAATGATAAGCTTCGAGCAATTCCCAGGTTTATTTTTTGATGTATTTGAGATACTCTGTAGTGTAAATAGATCAGTATACTCCATCATTTTGTTCATCAGTGTTGTTTCTTCTCTTATACCCCTGTTTCTTTCAGTTTGATCAGACAAGACTGTAATACCATATGCAGCACTTCTTTTATAAGTCTACTTTGGGAGATGATCTCCTATTAATCATGTTGTTTCTCCTATGATCATGTTCTGCCATGGGTAGTTTCTTTTAAGACATAGAATAACAATCTGATGATTGACATCCTGTAATGTATCCTCTAGACTTGCATTCTCAGAAATGAGAATTACCTAATGAGTAATTAGCATGAGTCCAAGAACATCAATTCTCACACGTAAATTGGAGGATATAACTCCAAATTCTAGTTGAGATCTTGGTTTAATGGTAAGGTTTCAAGCGATTAAAGTTGAGGGAATAAGAGTTGGAGATCCTGTTTTCAAATTTCAATGAATGTGACTTTTTTCTCTTGTATTACTCCCACTATAATGTATAAGGGGCTTTCGTATCTTTATCCAATAACAAGGGAAAAAAGCATTTTTGAGTAGGGCCTTGTTTCATACATTGAAGTTTAAAATTTGAAATTTGAAGTTTGAAAATTGAGTGCTCAAAGTATTAAATTGATGAGTTTTTAAAGTTATATATATATATATATATAACTGCTCTGATACCAGAGTTAGATCTACATACCCCTCGTCCCGTCTGGTATCAAAGCCAGAGGGGGAAGTGGGGAGATGGCTATCTTTCTTTACTTATTATGATGTTGGTAGTGTAGATCTACAAGATTAAATCTTTCTGATGAGATTTATTAACTTCGTGATTACCATCTTTCTTTATTTATGCTATTGATAGTGTAGATCTACAAGTTTAGATCTGATTAGATGAGACTGGTTAACTTCGTGATTACTATCTAATGTATTCAAGCTATATTATAATTTTGGTAGTCTAAATTTCATGACTTTGGATCTGATTAAAGGACATGGAACCAGTAAGTGCTAGCATCCGATCCAGGTAAGACCATGGGATTTGGCTCTGTAGGGGTGTAAAGGTTCTTGGGACGTACTCCAGGACGGGGAAGTGTCAAGAGGTCAGATCCAGGGAAAATGAGTTTTTACTATCAATTTTATGATTTTGTTTGGAAATATAGTCGTCATGCATAGTTAATATTTCTCAAAAGATTTAGATCTATTCTTGTAGGTTTATTTTTACTATCTTTATTATGATGGAATTATGGTCATCATGTATAGTTAATTCTTCTCAAAAGGTTAGATATTTTCTTGTAAATTTTCACACTATCCTTTATAATCTGTTTAAGAAAAATAGTTTATCCTCCATGGATCCCGAAGGATTCTGTGCCAAAAGGAAGAGGATTATAAGTTTTTAAAAATCATTTAAGTATTTGTTTATTTACTTTCTTGTTTTATTTTCCTATGACTTCTCCGGTTAAAGCATACTTTATAAATTCTAGTTCTTCTTCAAACAACAAACCTTTGAATAGGCTTCAAACTAGAATTGCTCAAATTGGGCAATCAATTCGTATACAAAGAAAACTAGAATTTCAAATTAATGAACAACACATTAGATCTGAATTCTTTGCAAACTACAATCATTTTAAAAGAAAACAATTTTTTGACAAATATCAGGGAGAAGCTCGAAAAAATATACAAGAAAACTTTTATGACTTTTTGACAAAAACAAAGCAAAATATTCATTTCTTTGACTGGTATGAGTCTCAAACAACTAAAGAGTCTGCACCATAACTCAAAAATCCAAACATTTCAAAACCTGCATCCTCTATGTCAAAATCTCAGGATTCTACTTTAGATCTCATAAATCCAATTCAAACTAAGCCAAAAGTCATAGATCTATCTTCAACAGATTTTATACAAGAACCTTTAGATCTACCCATAGATCTGCCCCAAACAACCCAGACACTAGAATCCTCTCATAAACTCTCAGAATCCATAAATCTATCAAAATCAAACTATATAAACCCAGCAGATATAGATCTACCAGATACTCCCGTAGATCTATCAAACCCAGTAGATTTACCAAACCAAGAGTCTATTAAAACTTCAAAACTCTTGATTTTCGGACAATCAATTGATAATTCTGTTAATTCTACTAGTATTGATATTAGAAAAGACATAGAAAATTCCTTAAACATAGGATATTTCTCAATAAATGTCTTAACTAAGAATCAACCTAGTACTAAACCTATAACTATTAAAGATCTCCAAACAGAAATTGTTTCTCTCAAAAAAGAAGTAAAAACAATTGAGAAAACAGCTACTAAAGAAGAAAATAATCCTTCTCAGTCAAACATAATAATTTACAAAAAACATTTTGTTTTTATAAGACTAGTTATTGATAACAATTATGCTGCAGAGACAGAAGCCTTATTTGACATAGAGGCTGATCTTAGCTGTATTCAGGAAGGTCTCATCCCAACAAAATTCTTTGAAAAAACAAAACAAGGCCTTAGAGGAGCCAATGGCTCCCAATTAAACATTCAGTTCAAACTCTCAAACGTCCAAGTCCAATTTTCTTCTGTATCCATTAAAGAAACATTCCTCTTAGCAAAGGACCTAACCAACAATGTTATTCTTGGAACAACCTTTGTCATCAAACTTATCCCTTATTTGACTACTAGTGAGGGAATCATACCCCAAAATTATGGGCAAAATGCTCTTTTACCCTTTTCTAGAAAACCAGTTCAAAAAATATTAAATTATCTATCCCTCAAGCATAACCAAATCAATTTCCTAAAAGAGGAAATTATTTACAAAATGATAGATGAGCAGCTCAAGAGGTCAGATATTCAGCAAAAAATTCAGAAGTTGCAAACAAAAATCCAAGGAAAAGTTTGTGCAGAAATACCAACTGCATTTTGGGCAAGGAAACAACATACTGTACACCTTCCTTATGAACCTGACTTTGAAGAAAAAGATATTCCAACAAAAGCCAAGCCTATACAGATGAATCAAGAACTACTCCAACATTGTCAAAAGGAGATTAATGATCTTCTTTCAAAAGGCATTATTAGTCCAAGTCAATCTCCATGGAGCTGTCCAGCATTCAATGTCAACAAACAATCGAAGATTGAAAAAAGAGTTCCTAGGTTTGTAATCAATTACAAAGCCCTGAATAGAGCTCTTCGATGGATCAGATATCCCATACCAAACAAGAAGGATCTACTTCAGAGACTTTATTCTTGCAAAATATTCTCAAAGTTTGATATGAAATCAGGGTTTTGGCAAATTCAGATTCATATCTCAGACAGATACAAAACAGTA